TCCGGTTTCTGGTTCCCCTCGGAGCTCCCGGTGAGCGCGTCCTCGGACCGGAGGCCGTCCTCCATCCTGCAGCAGCACAGCGAGGCCAGCAGCCGGTCGCAGAAACCCCTCCTCAGGAACACGTACAGCACCAGGTCCGCCAGCGGGCTGAAGTACACCGGGACCACGGTGGCCAGCTGGAAGGCGTCCCGCCCCCGGTACCTGGAGGTAGGGGTGTCAAAAGTATTAGGGGTGGAGCGGTTCGCGAAATCCACGGTTCGGTTCGATTCACGGTTTCGTGGTCACTGTTTTCGGTTCGGTATATGTTGATTGTTAGGAAAATCTATTATGTCTTGTATAGTCAGGATAAAACTGAAAGAAAAAAGCAGTCTGAAATTTGATACATCATTGTAGCTACTATGGGTGGGACAGTTCACAAAATCCACGGTTCGGTTCGATTCACGGTTTCGTGGTCATGGTTTTGGGTTCAGTTCGGTATATGTTGATTGTTAGGAAAATCTATTATGTCTTGTATAGTCAGGTTATAACTGAAAGAAAAAAGCAGTCTGATGTTTGATCCATTATTGTGACAGTCTTAGGTTAAAAGTAGGTGAGAATATTGCATTGCAAGCGAGGAAACAGTGCTAATTCCAGCATGTGCTTCCCTCTAAATGCAAAGTGGTCCCATACAGCAGACCTATAAACTGCTGTATGCTGCTTTGCTTCTTCTTCTTGTTTCCTACTGGTGGTGGGCTTTGGGCGCAGTAGCGCCCCCTTCTGCTCTGGAGTGTAAACGCTTCCCTCCTAGAAAAAGGAGCAGCAGGAACCGAACGCAACACACGCGAACCGAACCGAAACAGTCCAACCCAACGGTTCAGACGGTTTTCAGAAACCGTTCCATCCCTAGTGGCCAGCCCGAAGCCGTCCCGCCCCCGGTACCTGGAGGTAGGTAAGATAAGATAAGAGCTTTATTGATCTCACAGTGGAGAAACTCACTGGTCACACATCGGTTAGAGTTCAAAAGGGGGAAAAGGTGCATAAAGTACAGTATCTGGATACGATACTCATTTTCAAAAGTATCAATACTAAAATGTTGTATCCGGATACGATACTCATTTTCAAAAGTATCGATACCAAAATGGTATCGAGTATTTTCCTGAGTATCGGTATCGAGTTGAACATTTTCGTATCGTGACAACTAGGGGTGGAACGGTTCACAAAATCCACGGTTTCATGGTCACGGTTTTCGGTTCAGTTCGGTATATGTTGATTGTTAGGAAAATCTATTATGTCTTGTATAGACTTTAAAGAAAAAGGACCAGGACCAGGACCAGGGCGAGAAAAAGGACCAGGACCAGGACCAGACTTGTGGTATCGAAAATGGTATAGAGTTGAAAATTTTAGTATCCTGACAACCCTAAACGCAACACACGCGAATCGAACCGAGACAGTCCAACCCAACGGTTCGGACGGTTTTTATAAACCATTCCACCCCTAGTTACAACCCTCTTTCAGTTTTAACCTGACTATACAAGACATAATAGATTTTCATAACAATCAACATATACCGAACCGAACCGAAAACCGTGACAACGAAACCGTGAATCGAACCGAACCGTGGATTTTGTGAACTGTCCCACCCATAGTAGCTACAATGATGTATCAAATGTCAGACTGCTTTTTTCTTTCAGTTTTAACCCGACTATACAAGACAAAATAGATTTTCCTAATAATCAACATGTACCGAACCGAAAACAGTGACCAAGAAACCGTGAATCAAACCGACCCTTGGATTTTGTGAACCGTTCCACCCCTAGTATATACAGTGGGGGAAATAAGTATTTGACCCCTTGCTGATATTGCAGGTTTGCCCACTTACAAAGAAGGCCTATTTTTCCTCATCAGATGGTTATCAATTTTTATAAATTCATATGATGTGATTTTCTGGAATTTTCTTAGGGATTCTGTCTTTCACTGTTAGAATGTACATATGATTAAAGTTATAGATCGTTGCATTCTTTGTAAGTGGGCAAACCTGCAAAATCAGCAAGGGCTCAAATACTTATTTCCCCCACTGTATATATATGAGTATCGGTATCGAGTTGAAAACTTCAGTATGGTGACAACCCTACCTGGAGGCCAGCGAGAAGAGGATGCGTGGCAGGAAGAGCAGGGCGTAGATGAGCAGGACCAGGACCAGAGAAAGGACCATGACCAGGGCCAGAAAACGGACCAGGGCCAGAGAAAGGACCAGGGCCAGGACTAGGACCAGGGCCAGAGAAAGGACCA